AAGGATTCTCTGGGCAAATTATTAAATGATGCAGAAAGCATCAAAAGAAGATGGAAGGAATACACAGAGTCACTGTACCAAAAGGAAAAGGTTGATGTTCAACTGTTTCAAGAGGTAACGTATGATCAAGAGCCAATGATATTGAAGGAACAAGTCCAAGGTAGCGTATGATCAAGAGCCAATGATACTGAAGGAGGAAGTCCAAGGTGAAGGAATTGGCAAAGAACAAAGCACCAGAAATTGATAGAATAAAAATGGAAATCTTTCATGAAAGTCAGGCGGCACAGGAGGCACTCACTCATCTCTGCCAAGAAATTGGGAAGACAACTCTCTGGCCGACTGACTGGAAGAGATCCGTATTTGTGCCCATTCCAAAGAGAGGTGACCCAACGGAATGCATAACTCATCAGACAATCTCTTTGATATCCCATGTGAGTAAAGTTTTACTAAAGGTAATACAGAAACGGCTGCATGCATATATTGACAGAGAACTTCGAGAAGTTCAAGCTGGATCCAGCAGCGGCCGTGGAACAATGGATATCATTGCTGATGTCTGATGGATCTTGGCTGAAAGCAGAGAATATCAGAAAGATGTTTACCGGTACTTTATTTACTATGCCAAGGCTTTAGATTGTGTGGATCATAACAAGCTACGGACAAAATTGTCAAGTATGAGTATTCCGCAACACTTAACTGTACTCATGAGGAATCTGTACATGGACCAAAAGCAAGTTGTTCAAACAGAACATGAGAATACTGAATGGTTTAAAATTAAGAAAGGTGTGCGACAAGGTTGTATTCTTTCACCATACTTACGCAACCTGTATGCTACACAAATAATCCGAGAAGCTGGCTTATATGAAGAAAAACGTGGCATCAGGATTGGAGGAAGTCTAATTAACAACCTGCAATATGCATATGATACACCTTTGCTTCTTGAAAGTGAAGAAGACTTAAAACATTTACAGATGAAGATCAAAGAGCACAGCCTTCGGTATGGATTGCATCTCAATGTAAAGAAAACAAAAATCCTCACCAATGGACCAACAAACATTCTTACCAACAGAGAAAAGACTGAAGTTGTTAAGGACTT